GCCCAATTGCAACCGTTGATGATCATACTACAGAACTACTAGAAGATATTCAGCTTCCTGAATTACCTCCAATAGACACAACCCAACCACAAAGTACCATGGACTGGAATCAGGAAAACAATGATATAATTTCATCCCAACCCGTAGCAAATACTAAAACATCCCATGTAACAATGAAAACACCAATCACCACTCAAGCCAAAAGACCTCTATCGGATACAAATACAATTAAATCTCCCACCTCCCCTACAGCACCAGGCAGCCCTATGCCTTTCATTCAACCTGAAAAAAAAAAAGCCAAAACCAGCCGCTCTAGATCCAACTCTCTCACTTCCACCGACGACAACAAAATCAACACCTCGCTTGAACCTACAGTCGCCTTTTTCAGCGACAGTGAGAATACCTCAATCACCCTGGACCAATTTAAATACTTTTTGGAAAATATTAGAAACCCTAATATTAATATATACACATTATGCGACGAAATTAATTCCAACATCTCGGACATGCTCGACTTGACGGAAAAAATATACCCTCTAATTACAGATCGTGCAATGAAGTCCAAAATAAAAATTTTATCCAACTTATTGTTTAAGACCCTTCCTCCCAACTAATTCAACCAAATGAATAAAATGATTCCTATTTTTCTACATCACTAATATGCTTGCAAATAATACTTACTTCAATCACCATGAGCTTAAACATCATTCAATGGAATATAAACGGATTAGTTAAAAAACTAAGCAACATTCAAATACTAAACCACAAATATAACCCCATTCTTCTTTGCCTACAAGAAACCAATCTCAAAGATTCATATATCCCATCTTTGAAAAACTATAAACTCTACTACTCAAATCGTACAAGGTGTGATAGGGCGAGCGGTGGAGTGGCAATATTGGCTCGTACCGACTACCCCACAACACTAGTACCAATACAGTCTACTCTTGAAGCAATCGCTATAACTATTCAACTCGAATCCAGCATCACCATCTGTAATCTGTACATTCCAAACCAAAAACCTTTCTCGTCTTCAGACATAGAAAATTTAATCAAACAACTACCTCCCCCTTTCTTATTGGTAGGAGACTTCAACAGTCATAGTGAAAACTGGGGATCCGAAAGAACCGACCCCAGAGGCAAAGAAATTAACAAAATCTTGGAGAATGACAACATAGTCCTTCTTAACAACGGGGATTATACTAGACTCAACCCAGCAACCGGCCTATTCTCAACCATCGACTTATCCCTGTCAAGTACATCACTAGCCCAACGAATCTCATGGACAACTCTAGCAGAGATACATGATAGTGATCACATACCCATTAAAATGGAACTTCTAACGAACAAAACGTCCCCCTGCAAGACCATTCCTAAATGGAAAATCAAAAATCCCAACTGGGATCTCTTCACACAACTAATCGAAACCAATTTATACACGAACACTCCACCAACGGACTGCTCAATTGACATCGATGTTACTCACATATCTGAGACAATAATAAATGCAGCCAACATGGCAATAGGCAAAACCAAAATTTCAACAACAAAACCCAACGTCCCGTGGTGGAACTCTGAGATTAAAGAAGCAATCAAAAACAAAAACAAAGCACTAAAAACCTTCCAAGTCTCAGGAAAAATTGAAGATCATATAAAACTGAAACATTTAAGGGCAAAGACCAAATATCTTGTAAAAAGGAGCAAAGAGAAGTCTTGGAAATCCTTCACTTCAAGCATCACTCCCAAAATCGACTCTAGCATAATCTGGAGCAAAGTTAGATCCTTGCGTGGTCAAAGTAGAGAAAAACACACCCATTTAATCATTGACAACACAATACACACAAACCCTATTGATGTGGCCAATCACCTCGGAGTCTCCTTCCAATCAAACTGCTCTGATGACAATTACGACATGAACTTTGTGACTAACAACATCCAAAACAGAAACAGTCAGTATATTTCCAACATTGATCCTGCTTTACAAGACCAGGTACATCTAAACCTTCCGATCTCTCTTAAGGAACTAAATTGGGCGCTGAAAAAATGTTCTAGTCTCTCCCCTGGCCCCGATGATATTCCGTACATATTCTTACACAATTTACCTCTTTCAGCACTCACCTACCTTCTTCACATCTATAACAAAATCTGGAACTGTGGTAAGCTCCCCATATCCTGGAAACATTCAATAGTGGTTCCTATACTAAAACCCGGTAACGACAAATTCAAATCAAACAGCTACAGACCCATCTCATTATTAAATACCATGTGTAAACTGCTCGAAAAAATCATCGATATTAGATTGCGTTGGTTTTTAGAAAAAATAAATTATCTTATTCCTCAACAAAATGGTTTTCGAAAACATAGAAGCACTTACAATTCTCTGCAGGACATCCAAGATAACATTCAAAAAACATTTAAAAACAAACAAGTCCTAGGACTAGTTGCACTAGATATAGCCAAAGCCTACGATACAACCTGGAGACCAGGCATACTGCAAAAACTTAGTAACATCCTATGTAATGGCAGAATGTTCAATTTCCTAAAGGATTTTTTATTGGATAGATCATTCCAAGTGAAAATCAACAATTATCTATCCCCCACCTTTATTCAACAAAACGGTGTCCCTCAAGGGTCTACTATATCAGTTACTCTATTTCTTATCGCCATCAACGATATTTGCGAGAATATTAAATTTCCGGTTCAATCTACACTTTTTGCAGACGATTTAAATATCCTCTGCAGAGGAAAAAACCCAAATTCCATCCAATCAGCCCTACAGGATACAATTGACTCATTATTAAAATGGTCCACTAAAACCGGCTTCACTTTCTCCACCACAAAATCTCGCTGCACGCTCTTTACCAGGCTCAGAAAATATAACAATTTAGAAGTAAAGTTAAACAACATACCAATACCATATACCAAAATCATTAAGATCCTCGGAATTACTTTCGACAACAAGAATACATGGCAGGCCCACTTAAAAGATATCAGAAAAGCAACTCTAATAAAATTGAACATCATCAAATCATTAGCTCACACCTCTTGGGGAGCAAGCGGAACCACTCTTAAACAAATATATAAATCTCTCATTTTATCTAAATTAGAATATGGTGCTTTCATCTACATTGACGCTAAACAATCTGCACTCAAAATGATAGAGACTATTCATAACTCAGGTCTAAGACTTGCCACAGGTGCATTCCGTTCCAGCCCTATCTCAAGCATTCTCAATATTGCAAACACACTTCCTCTTGACCTAAGGAGAATGCATAACTCCACACTTCAAAAGGCTAGAAGAATACATAATAACACTACCTCTAACTTAGAAAATACAATAAAGCTCAACAACTTCAAGTTCAATTGTTCAGGAGTACTTAAACACGAGCATGCTATCACTCCTCCTTGGGTGATGGAACTTCACTCTAATACTGATCTCTCTCAACACATCAAAAGTGAGACTATGGACTATACTTTTAGAAATCTGACACTTTCATTACTTGAAGACTATCAGGATTACATCAAGTTTTACACCGACGGTTCCAAAACTGAAGCAGGAGTTGGGGCATCGGTATACTTCAACAATACACCAAAAATGATCAAATTTCCTGACTTCTGTTCAATCTACACAGCAGAAGCTTATGCGATTTACCACGCACTTGAAACAATTCAACAACTCAAAATTGATAAAGCGCTCATATTAAGTGACTCTCTTAGTACTATCAACAGCATAAGCAACATAAACCAACCCAATGCCATATCCAGAATGATTCAAAATCAAATTTCCCTCCTAAATCACAACAATCAAAACGTGTTACTGGTATGGATTCCTAGCCATATCGGAATCCCTGGCAACGAAACAGCAGACATCTACGCTAAAAGAGCCATAACCTCCCCCGAAGCCTCCTTAGTGCAAATCTGCTCCCTGGGCGATATCAAGGGAGTATTACAGTCCCTGACGCTGCAACAGTGGCAGCATCGTTGGACATCATCACTCACGAAATTAAATATTATCAAACCTTCCATCAACCCTTGGCCAACACTCACCACCAAGATACGTCATGAAGTCATAGTCAACCGACTTAGAATCGGCCATACGTGGCTTACACATAACTTCCTCATGAGACATGAAGATCCAACCCAATGCACAACCTGCGGGGAAATCATCACCATCGAACACGTTCTTCTTCACTGCCGGAAATACGCGGATACCAAAACCTCTCTAAATATCCCGGACCACCTCTACCAAATACTCGGACCCGACCTCAAAAACTTCAATAACACCCTAATGTTTTTACAGCAAACAAAACTGTACAACCTTATTTAATTACATTGTTCTTTTTTTTTTTCTATTCTATTATTTATCACTATTTTGTACACCCTTAAACTTAGGTTTAGTAATAACCATAATTTTTTTATATCCAAAAATGTAAAAATGTAAATACCGTAAGCCAATAACCTTTGTTGTTGAGGCTTTAAATAAACAAAAAAAAAAAAAAAAAAAAAAAAATAATAGGTAATAATAATATGATACACTGAGTACCGTCCTACAGCATGACGCGACGGTCGAGGCCTATATATAGTATAGCCGTATAGGTAATATAACAATATTATACAGTTTATAACAACAGTCTGTTTGTTCCGCGTGTTGAACATTTATCTACCTACATTTGTTGTTTAGTCTGCAGTACCTACATTCATCCATACACGTAGCCACCTAGGTACTTTATAATATATATACAATATATACTCAGCTATATACGGATATACCATTATACGACCGATCGCAATTATAAATAAATGGAAACGCGATATTAAACAGCGCTCAGCGGAGAGCGTTTGAACAGTATAGGTAGTAAGTGTACACCTATTATATTATATTTGTACACTTATTTTACCGAACAATGATCCTCGGTATTGGGGGAGACTCCGTGTGCATGTGAATATAATATTATAATATACGAATAAGACATAGGAAAATAATAAAAAAATTGTGCGCACTAACCGAATAACGAGCTCCCTGCTCGTGACTTATCAAGAATGAATGGCTTGTCCATTAAAACGTGTAACTTTATACTTTTCTCCGTAATTATGTGGTTGATAACGGAATAGTCCAACTAGAATAATACAAATTTTATTGTTGTAAGACGCCGGGTATTATTATATGCGTGCTCTATTTGTAGAGACTAGAGACTTGTGATAAATATTAATATAAGAATCGGGTTACCATCATGTTGGACGGATCGCAGTCGGAGCACGGAAACAGTATAAATATTATCGAATGTGCCGTCCTGAAACGTAACTTTGACGCGAACCGAATAGCGTTGAATACGTCTGAATTTCCGTCACCTGTAAAAAATCGATTGAATAACAAACGTTTTGAAATTTAATAAATTTAATTTGAAAACATCATGCTGCCGTTATGCAATATAACACCGCACTGATTCTTCCTCGGGTTTATCATAAATATTGGTTTTATAGTCACACAAAATTAAAATATTAATTGTATAGTTACCGATTTGTATGTTGCTCAAAAATTGTAAGAATAGGGTTGGGCTTGCGAACACTTGACCGTTTATAACAACGCTGTGAGGCTCGTCGAATAAACCGCTGCCACCAAAGAAAACGGCTGAAAATCTGAAATCGCAAATAAATTGTATAATATATGTTTGTATTTTAAATAAAACAATATTCGTATAATATTGTATATTTGTATGGTATATTCAAAACTGATGGTATTATTAGTTTGCAGTCAGATTGGATACTTATGTTCGATGCTTGGGCAATGTGGAATACAGAGCAATGTAAACATTTCCCCCCAGACTTTTGGTCTTGCCCATCAAGTTTGTGCCTCGAATACAAACAAATTAATAATTATTTTTTGTGCAGTATTTATTTTCTATCCATTATTACTAAAAATGTATACTATACCTACTATTCCATATTATGTAATATTAAAATAACACTTTTCTTTATTTTAACGGTAAAACTTTATCAGAATGTATCGACACGAGGATTTTTATGATGAGCTATACAGGCTTAACCTTGACGCCACTTATGATGCGTGGTTCACGTTTTACGAGACAATAGCTTATTTAAAATAAATATTTACGAAAGTTAAGGTGATAAAATGTTTACAAAAAATCCGTGAGTACAGTATTAAATGAAATACCTACCTATAATAATAAAAATCAATACCTACTCCATTTAATACGTATTTACGTATAAACGCATTAATATACCTAGTGTATAGCCTATATAAAGTTAGTTCGCACAACAATGTAGGTAAGTATCTAACGACCTATCTAAATTATACGATCAAACTGAATGAGAATAAATCATTTTTATTCTTTGTCGTAAGAGACGTTTAAAATATTAAAATTTTCATAAGGCTAGAACGGTACATCTAATAAACTAGTGAGTAGCCAATAGGTAGGACCCATACATTTTAACCATTAAACATCTGAAGTACAATATTATTTTATTATTTTTAATGGGTTGATTATTTATGGTTGTCATCAAATAGTTACTCAATAACGAAGTAATGATAATATTACTATCGTCGGATATGATTCAATGATTGACTATCTTAACAGATACCTATAGGTATAGGTACTGTTGATTATAAATGCACTTCCATATTACTTGTAATAATATGTATAGTAGTATTAGTTTATTGCTCAACGCAAAGTTGAGTAAGAGCTATCACCGGCCATTATCTACAGGTTGATTTACGAAACATGGTCCGGGGTCGGCCCTTTTATCCTTTGGTAATGCATTTATTCAATCTCTGGTTTTTGGATTCTTTTATTATTCTCAATGGCATACCAGTTTATACAACAGTATGTTCAAATATCAACTAAAATTGTTTATAACATTAAGAAGTTTCTCTACTCTCGAGGTGATTCAAACATATTTTTTTTATCAAATTACAACTACGTTTTTACTGTAAATTGTTAACAGATGATTTGTTGAAAATGTGATGTACCTATCTATACATTGAAATTAAAACTAGTAGTTTTTGAGATATTAAAATGTATGTACTCAGGATAATAAATAAAAATCCTGAATAGTGGTTTTAAATCAAGTATAAAATAAAACAATAATCTATTTACATCTGACATAATATTTATGTAGGTAGTACTAAGTACCTACTTATTAATTATTATATACTATGACAATTTTTAAAAATGATAAAATGATTCATTATTATAGTTTATTTTAAAATTATTATAGCTGCTATAAAATCATTAAACCAACCTATACCTATTATTAGTGGCGTTACTACTAATTTGTTTTTTTTTTTAGAGGAAATAAAAATAAATTTTTTCATAATGTGTATATTTAATTATTACCATTGATTTTATAATATAACTAATACTATAATAATATTATACTATTATTATAAAACCAATGCTACATAGCTATAGCTTAAAGTATACGGTAAATTGTTTTAAGCTTTTTAACTTAACTATATTCTTTACTTACATTTAATTTCTATTAATTATCTAATTAATAGTAACTTAGTAACCTAACTAGAATAATTGTACATAGTAATAACTTAACTTATTTGTGTTAATTTGGAAAATAATGGGTAGGAGCGCATTAAATGAAAACGTGTTAATACAAAATTATACTGTTGTAATGTGGTAAAATTAGAAGTTAATTATGTTTTTTTTATATTTAATCACGCTATAGACAACGATATTAAATAAATGTAAACAAATAAGTTGTTAGTTTATGGTTGATTCAATAATTTAGTTGACATAAAGTTATAATCACCTAAATCATTACAGAGTGAAATAAGAAGAAATATAAAGATGAGTTAATACAAAATGCCGGTTAGTTATTTAAAACTTTAGAAAGTCGCACAATCATTATAATTATATGTGACTTGGGTGATAATTTAAAAAAAAAAATGAATTTAGGTAGGTACTTATTTTTAACAGACTTAAGTTTATATTTTGCTCCGTATTAATTTCAAACTTTTAAATTGAAATATCTCATTTGGTAACAGCTACTAACTGTTGATGTTATGATTAAAATATAAACAACCTAACTATAGACTTAATCAAATTATCATTTTCATTAACTTGCCCACTTTTATATATACGGCACTGTCGGTCACACAGTATAAATATTTTAATGACTTACAATAATATTATAGTGGCATTGATTTTATAATAGACTAGGTATAATAACATCAATGTTAATAATTACCAACATAATAAAACGCACACCGAAAAATAATATTATCATAATTATTTATTATTATTATTATTCAAGCAAATGGTTAGGAAAAATAATGTGATAGAAATATTGAATGTACAATAAATTAGAGCTTAAACTAGATATCTCTGTCCCCACTATAAAATGTCAGGGAGGCAACTATTGTCCTTGCTCCCATATTACGTCCATGACTATATTATCATGAACTTTACTATTATTATCCCTATGACCCCATACATAAAGTTAGTAACTACTCGATCGAAATTCCTGTTTGTATAAACTTATTATTTCTGTTTTGATCGATAACAATAGTACCTACTAGATTGCAAAATCTAATCAAACGGCAACAAAATATCATCTTATCATTGCTATCAGTTGTTGATTATTACTTTATTCTCAAATCTTTTTAAAGATTATCAAACTAAAAAAAAAACAATACAATTGGAATATTATTTTAAGCGTTTTATGTTGCCCTAAAAATGCGAGTTCCAGTTAGACGATCGCATAGTATCTACTCGCTCGGAATAAAATACAATAAACACAAACGCAATTTTCGTCGAACCGAAACGTTTGCGGTCGGAGTCTTAATCTTTGATCTGTACGGTGTAAGTTGTAGGTTTATACTCACTTGTTGTTCGTCATCCCAACGTCGTGCAACTCTTTGACCATCATCGTGAGCAGGGTGTGCACGTTCTTTTTCTCCGCAAAGTTTTCGTTGCACCGCTTGGCCTCGACGATGAACACGATGTCGGCCGACGACGGTACGTGGCTACTGTTGATATTCAAGAAATCGCCCTCGGTGATTTCCGTGTTGTTTACAGCGTGACACCTGTGGCGAAATGCGGGTGACACCGTGAAAATATAGTTACATCGGTATTACGGATCAGGCAAAATGCATTATACGTAGTGATTCGTTTGACATTAGTTACGCCAATTTTAAAAGTAAATTTATGTGTTATTTTTTGCAAAAAAAATGAGCGATTCTACGTAACTATACTACTATACCATATTGTGGTACTATGTATAAGGTAAAAATTATTAAATCTTATATTCTTATAAGTGCATAACATTTTACCACAGTGATTTTTTCATCTTTTTTTTTACGATAGCCATATCGGATATGGAATTAAGAGTTTTTATTTAATTGGTTAAAATTGATTGCTTAACATTTAAAATTAAGATCGCTGGATTAAAATAGCAAGTGGTACCCCGCAAAATGTGTGGTCCACTACTCCACTCGTCTAAAATGTATAACATACGTCATATAGAATAATTATTATAAGACAATTTATTCAACACTCGAAAAATTGATGAACAATTTCCGAACAGTTTATTATACTTCTGATTATATTATTAAAAAAACACATACCTATAAGTTTTATAATAAACATTTTCAAAAACAAATTCGTTACAATACAAAATGCTAAACGAGTATCGTTTTTATAAACACTTTATTCGAACTATACAGTGTGGTTGACATGTTAACAGTATTTTATACTTAAAATAATTAATGTATTCAAATCCTGAGTTTTGGGATTTTTTATTATACTTACTTAAAAATTAAAATACATAATGTATTCTTCAAATAAGTGGATTTGGATATTTTTATACCATTTAAGGAATATTCTGTGATAATACAAACTTCTTTTTTTCTAATGAGAACCCACTTTTTTCACTATAAATTGTTAAGTTTAAGTGATTGATATTTCGTAAATTATGAAGTAGTTATCAAAATGAAAATATGAAATATGAATGAATAATTTCAGAGTTCCTAAATTGTACGTTTATTACGCCAAACGCATACTCAAAATTCTTTAAATGGAATACAAAATCTAATGCTGGGTTGCATAAACAATTTATTAAATTTAATGGTTCAATAAAAATTTAATGGACCAACCGTGGGCCACTAAATCTTGTTTAAAGGACCATTAGCTCACTATATTGATTCATTAAATGTTTTGTGCAACCCGGCAAATATGGCCTTTGTGCTCATTTAAAAATGCCACTAATTATAATTCAAATTAACTAATATTATTCCTCGAAGAATAGAAGTGAGCATTCCAAATGAGTCACAAGTAATTTTTCACCTCGAACACAAAAACCTATTTTATAAAATTACTGCAGTAACCTTTAGGTTATAGTATAGTTTTAATAATAATATTATTATTTATTATTATTATTATTATTTATTATTATTATTATTATTATTATTATTATTATTATTATTAAACGGAAAGATACCGTATTGACAGCCTGTAGGACAGGCGATTAAAAAATAATAATAATACATTCCGGACCACTGACCTGACACAGTTTGTCGGTGTGCGGACTGGCAGATTTTCTATGGAGCACATTTCGGTGTAGGCGGTCGCCGATGTGCACGTCTCGTTTTTGTTGGATTGTTTCAGACACAGGTCGTAATAGGGACTGGGGTTTATCTGCGGAAAATCAAAAGTGCAACGGAAAAATTAAACGAGCTGTTATCACTGGTATTGTGCAAATCGTTTGTAGCCATAGGAAAATCATTATATATATATAATATGTAAGTACATAATAAATAATATGTACTAATGTATTCAAGTATTAATATACTTGTTTTAACAAGTATATTAGGTACATAGATATTATCGTAGCGTCATTATCGTGTGGCCTCAACTACGGTAATAATAATAATATGATATACCCACCGGTTATTCGATTCGAGCAGTGACCTGCAGGCATATCGCCTGTTATTGTCATTTATCGGGAATGTTATAATTTACATAATATTATATATAGGCTCTATCAATCCTTATCGTACATATTTTGTACGATTGAAAACCGTTTTGAAATTATGTTATAGCATAGATTTGTCATGATATTATGTTGTATTAAAGTCAGACCTTTTGCAGACTATCCAATATTTCTATACCCAAAAACGTTCATTCTCAAATTCCAAAACAGTAAATTTGATTTTGCTATGTACATATATGCGTATATTCAATTATTTACGGCATAATATACAATAAGGGAATGAAGGGATTGAAATTATTAAAACAAAAATGTTTTCGATATTCTTTTATGAGTGGCTATGTATATGTATATTTATTTTATATTTACTGTTGGAGTTTCAATGATTGTCTTTTAATATATAACTTATTATACTTATTATAGTATTATGAATTATACAACAATTAAATAATTAGGGAATTAGGGCTGTTTAATAACCAGTAGGTAAACCCACTTTAGGTACCTATACAAAGCATTATATCTACACAGCGTTTTATATTGTTATCCGCATAACAGCAATTTTATAATATTATTTTCCCAAGACGAAACTTTTCCAAATACGCTCCTGCTTACACCATTTTATAGGTAACCTGTCTTTTATTCTATAATATATTAATTTCTGTACCTAATGATTAGTGTTGAAAGTATATTATAATATCACGTACTGTATAGGTGTTTTCGCTACGCATATATTATATTTAACTGGTACACGTTTCTCTATACCTATTTAGAAATTGATTTAAATTTTTATAGAGCGATATACTGAGATTAGTATTAAATGGCGCGTGATTTCCATCCGACGTCCTAATCTAAGACCCGCGGCGTCTGGGACTCGTTATTAAATCCGGTAAGCATAGCTGCTGCCGTTGCGGTACGTTATTACAAGGGCTGTGAATTTAATGCACTAAAAATCCATGAAATACGAATGCATTCGTGCGCTCAGGAAAATAGGAAAATAAACATTACAAAATATATGCGCTAAACCTTCCGAAATATGTGAAATTCACTGCATGAAAAAAATGTATTATAATTATATAACTATAAAAACTATATTGTCATCATATATTATATGGCTTCAAAAGTATTAAATAGTATGCGTAAAATATTAAAATTGTACATCATCAAATGTGTATTATAACAAAAAATACAAACAATTATTTATTAATAATAAAAAGCAATAATTTTTTAAAGAATTTACACATTATACATTTTGTACAAAAATATTATAACATATAGGTACAGAATTTTGACAATTCCAAAAATCCGTATTTTTTTCCCCAGATATACAATACAAATCAAAAACATAAAAGAACAGTTGTAGGTATACACTGACGTATTGTGAAATTATGGAAAGTAAATTTTGTATTTAAAATAATATTGTATTTTCCTGAAGAATATTTGAATTTCACTTATTTTTCGTTCAGAATGGAGTTCAACGATAAGAAAAATCATTATATTCACATTCCTAATTATTTAATATTGTTGGCTTCTAATTGTCTAATTAATTCGGAAGTGGAAGTACTGAAAGAAAAAATAAACGTATCATCTCCCGAAAAAAAAAGAAATACAATATTCCTCGTTCAAATACCTCGCTGCTTGAACTAGACGTAAATCAAAGTCATAATGTTGTGTAAAGGCAAACAAATGCTTTAAATCACTTTAGTTTTAAAAATTGAGTTGGGGATCTGGTTTGTTGGGTACATCGAGTCCTTTCGTTTTAGGCAGTTCCGTCCACAATAATATAATAAATTATTGTTATGGCGACAAGGCCACGGAGTGACGACGAAAAATTAAGAATATTATGCTTACCACGGAGAAGCAGGTGAATAGTGACGAGGTCTTGTGTTTGAAATAACTGTCGCAGATCTCTACGATTTGAGCGCTGGGCGACGATTTCCTCTGGTAGGACGGGTATGCGCTGCAACTGTTCTCGTTCAGCGACCAGCTCTCTGTGAACTTGTACAAGTCCGGTTCCAAGTAGCCATTGGACGACAGCATGTCATTGATGGGCTCGTTGTCCAGTGTTCCAAGCAATCCCGCAGTCTTCCCGAAATACCAACCTGAATAAGTTTCCGGGGTGTAACAGAAATCGTGCATGAATGTAATATTATGGTAAAATATTATTATTAGACACATTACTATTTTGATATTTGATCGATTATTATTTATTATTCTTTTAACAATATCACAATATTAAAATATATCTATATACTATAAGTCGAGTGTCTGACAGTCATATGCACCGGTTATGTTTATTAGTTTAATTCTAGTTTGTCTTAATCGTTAACATACTTTCAATCTCAAACTACTAAATAATTAGGATATTAAAATAGATGAATAGTCTTAGATGAATACCTACATTAAAGATTACAGAAGGTAAAATTATATCAACAGGTAATAATACAAAATGATAGTAACTATTTTGTTTTAAACTGTTTAAAATTTAAATACATTAAACTGTGTAAAATGTAATGACATTTTAAAAACTATTATAATATCTTCTATATCTGAGAAAAACAAATTCTAAAAGAGAAAGTTGAGCGGAGTACTCGGAAAAAGTTGTTTTCTTAAAAAATAATTATTGCTCTACTTCTCAAGTCGTAAATGCATAAGATTTAATTTCGGAAGCGATTGACAATCGTGTTCCAGTAGTTTAATAATTTTTGACTTATTATCTAAATCCGTTTCGCTCTATACTTATACAATCAAGCTTTTATTTGTAATTAAAAATTAACCCTTTTTAACTCATATTATATGAGTAAAAAATAAAATGTTTTTAATGGTACCTATACCTATTATATTTGATTCACCTGAAATAGCTCAGATGATTTTTCAGCCGAGTTTTTTTTAAAGAAACTACATTAATTGTTCATCACCAGCTAGTACTATAATTTTTTTATTTAATAAATCGATTTCGACGAGTTATTTTCTGATAAATGGAAGTTTTATTTTATTTTATCTATTGGTGATTCAATTTATTTCCGAGTTTATCAAAATCATTTCACCAGTGGTGTGATAATGATGGTGTGTAATTAAATATTGACAAATGTTATAGGTACAATATCATGCACTCATAAAAAAAAATACTCTATCTTTGAATTATTCTATAGCTAATCTAAATTGTACATGTAAGTTTACCATCAATGAGGTCTTATTTGATTTTAAAATATATTTTACTAACTATATTGATTACATTCGAAATAATTTTTTTTTTATAAAATTAGGACTTTTAAAACTCATGGGTATAGTTGTAGTTTACGTTGAATCAGTTTTAAAAACATAATATTTTTCATAAATTCAATCTCAGATGGAATATGCTTTAATAGTTGAATATGGCACTCGCATAATATAGATCAAATTAATATGATCAATAATTTTTCAGATATTTATCTCATAAATAATATATATGGACAAAATTTCTCATCCAGTTCAAAATTGCTTAGGTAGCTCTTTATAAATCAGGCATTTTGTGTTCAAGTGTTATTTAAATTATTCCATAATATGATTGTCTTAAATTTCTCGAGTGAATAAACGTTAAGTTAACTTCATTCATTCTAAGGAAAAATATACATTTTATTTATCAAATATAAATACAAAATATATGTGAACATTTTAATGTAGGGGGATAATATTTTAAATCATTATGTTTTATTTTCTACAATAGATAATAATATGTTTTTAAAAAATTACTAGATTTATTCGTTAGTTACTTTAAATAGATTTTTCATTTAATATCTTCTTGTAGACTATATTATATAGTCTATAAGTAGATAACTATAATTACTAATTTTTTGTTTAAAATACTTTAATTTCACGTTGTGTTAATATTATGGTATTTAAATCATAATATGTCTAATGTATTTATTAACTGCCACAAGTATTAACTACCCTTTATATAAACAGTATTTTCAATAGGAATTTAATTTTTGTACGAAAGATTTTTATTATATATTCAACGACGATAAATATCGACATGACACTACTACATCAAGGCACAGAAAATAAGTCATGATGGTATTCATTTTTCCGAAAAATATCGTTAACATTAAACGCTGATTTATACTACTAGCAGTATTACTATATTAAGTTATGAGCAAAAAAAACATTGTAAAATTGAAAAAAAAATAACTGTTATATATCCATATATAGGCGGCACTTGGCAAACATTCAACTCAGTGTTTACATACCTCCCAGGCATTTTCATATCATAACTTTATTTTAAACTTGTTACTTATTTTAGTCATAATTTTATGCAATAGGTAGTATTTTTATATTCCAATTTTATCATGGTTGGTTTAAGAATGAATCTAAGATTTTATTTAATATAGATAATTTAAAGACCAATCTTAAATCTCATATATCATTTTTATAACACCGACGAATAATCAATATTTACCTACTGTATCAAAAAAAAATTATTTTTAAAATCTATTTTCATAGGCCAGGGAAAATGATGATACCAATACTTATGTCTTATATAAAATAAAAAAATGTTTGTTAAACAGTTAATATTGAAATGAAAAATATGGGGCCACATGATTAATAAACTAATACTGTCTATCACTAAAACATTTTATTTAGAAAATATAAAATGTTATAAAATAATCATAATATGATCAGTTAAGCACATCATTGTTATATTATATATTGCAAGGTTATATTGTAACTATTTTATATATCTGTAAGCAAATAAATACATAAAAAAGTCTATTGTTTATTTTTGTAATCATGACTAAAATTTGTAATAATTAAATATCAAATTAATTACCTACTTATATAAATTATAAAAAAAAACCTTGATCAACAAGATTGAAACATATAGTTCACTACTACTCACCAAAAAGTTAAAATTTATAATGAGATTAATAATATGAAAACCACATTAAAATAATAACATTTTATGTAAATTAATTTGTTAATAATTTATGATCTTTCGAATGATTGTTGTTTATTTATTGATATAATATGAGTAAGACCCAATTTTAAAAATGCATGCCATAGACTGAAGATAAATGACAAGTATAATTATTAAACAGAAATATAACAATAGAAATAATTATAGACAAATTAACTTCTAGATAATATAAAAATTAAACAAGGGATGGTGGGTCCCAAATGTCCAACTACATAATTTTAGATTCTGAGTGGAACAATGAATGTATTGATTTTACAATGATGTGTGTTTTTTTATTTTTGTGTCGGTGTACACGATAAGTAGTCGAAATAATAATATAATATAATAATCAATTTCAGTATCTTGTTCGATTCTAAAGTGAATATCGTTGGTGCATTGCGGAGGTCAAAATTTAAAATTCCCAGTAATTTTCAAAAGCGCAAAGAAAAACAAAAGAAAAATTAAGGAAAAACGGGGAATTCTTAAGCCAAATCGATTTTTCACAATAATTGAATTTGGTTTTTGGTGTAACTTTGAAACAAATGACCGTAGATACATGACATTTTCACTGGTTGTTTATATTTGCATTTTCTATACACGATAACATTTTCAAAATATTTTGATTTATTTTGAACTGTTCATTCTAAATTTTCATTTTCCATTTTTTTTTAGTTTATTTTCTAAATATATCAATTAAATACTATTTATTGGTTAAAAAAGCTTGAAAATTTAATAGAAGGCTCCTAGAATATTGTTTCAAAGGCAGATGAAAAATATTAAAAATTCTTTGTCACAGTTTCTTTTTAAAAGCATTTAAATTTCAAAAATTGACAAAATATGGGAAAATCACGAAAATCAGCAAATTATTTTGAGTTAAGAATTCGTAAAAAATTTTCTTTTTAAATTTAAGATTTTAAAATGTAATACAAAATTCCTTATATATTATTATATTATAATAATTATATAATTATATGATTATCTATCTTTATCAAAAACAAAAATATCTATAAGAAAGTCAAATTAAATTTTTATGAGGGTCTGAAATTCAAAATTTTACAACATTGGATATTCACTCGATTTCTCTTGTAGCGATATCCTTATTTTGTTGTACTTCAAAAACAAATAACTGTAGATACATGAAAATTTCACTGAATATTTATATTAGTATTTCCTATACACCATACAATTTTGAAAATATTTTGACTCTTTTTGAGCTGTTGCTGACATTTTCGGTTTTTTTTTCTATAAATATCAATAAAGTTTTATTTGTTGGGCCAACAAGTGTAAAAATTTAATACCATGCTCCTGATATATTGTTACGATATCAGTTGAAAAATATTTAAAAAACATATGCACAATTTTTTTTTATAAGCATTTAAACATCGAATTTTTACAAAATGTATCAAATTTAAAATTGAATAATTATTTTGTAGTTAAAAATTTATAAAATGTTCAACTTTTATCTAAGGATTGAAAATTCAAAACAAGATTCCTCTTAAATAGTTAATTCTGTTACCAAAAAATCTAAAAAATACACAAGCACAGTTTATTTCTATAGTCATCTTAAGTTCAAATTCGGACTAAATTACATATTAAAAACCTAGAATAACTATTTTAGTCTTTTCTTTGTGATTGTACAATATTATTCTTGGATTATTCAGGGTGTGTTGCTGATGTATAACGAGTTGTAAGTACCTAATTGATATTGTGATATGATTAATTTGGAATTTACTATAGGTAACTATTATAGGTCAAATTTTTTTTTTTTAATAATTACCATAGATAAGTATATAATATGTCTTGTACCTAGACTGACATACTGTCTCCTCTCAGAATCGTTTTTATTATTCAATGATATTATATCATTGAATTCAAATTTAGTACCATCCATTAAACAGTGACCCACTTGTAACCTACTACACAGCAGAGCACCTTTTTAGTATTGGATTGTCTTTAAATAAACAGTATTTAGTATTGAATATTTGAGTGAGGAAGGATTGGGAATGACGATAGTTTCACAGAGGGACAAGAAAATTAACTTTGTTTAATAATGTAGAAGCTTCAATTTCAGAATTGATTAATTTTTTAAAAAACAATTACTATCGTCTCTTCTGTCTAATAAATATTTTAAACTAAGCACACTTCACGCGAAGGCTAATCAATTTTCAATATATAGGCATACAACTTGAGAAATGTTCACTGGAGTCGACATTTATTGACAGTAGTGAATGGATCCCAGACAACTATATCATACTTCAAAACAGAATGAACGCTATAATGCTCAATATACTAAATATAGGATGACAATTTGAAATCTACGCAAATACACTTAACACAGCCCAACAAATTAGGAGGTTTAGTAGCCACATTTTCAATAGGTAGGAGAAATAAAACACAACTTTTCATCAAATACGCAAACAAATTAAAGCCAGATTAAAGCTATCAAGATCAAAATATGCAAAAACTGACATAACATATTTAGAGGGCATTGATCAGGCATATTAAGTTAAATACTGTCTGAGATACCCCCACAAGTCTTTCGTGTTTCTATGAAAAAGTCGTAAAACATAAAAGATTTTGAAAGTAATGAAGACTCTGTGTTTTGTAAATTCATCGAATTACAATACCTTACAGTGTAAGTGTTTAGTGGGTCGTGGAACATTTTTAAATGATACATTTTTTAGACAAGTGTTTCTATTACTTTTCGTTACCTAAATTTAGTTATATCATAAATAGCTATCTGCGTTTGTAACAGTTACAAATTTACTGCGACCATATCAACACGAAGCAATTAGATTAATAGTAATTGAAAATATAACAATTTATTTGAAACAAATTAGTACCTGCATGACGTTCAAATCAATTATTTTCAGTAAAACTATCTTTTTTTATGTTTTATTCGTTCAGCACAAAAAAAAAAGATTATTGTGGGGCGCCAAAATTTTAATACTTTCCAAAATGGGTCGTACCATAAGAAGTTTGGGAACCTCTGCCTTACACTATTTCTCGAGGACTAAACAATGCAAGAGCTCTTTATCATTTATTAGCACGAGTAATTTCTCGACAACTACAGCAATATGCGATTCATATTAATTTACAAGATAATCAGTTGCAAAGTATAGATATGGCTTAAAATAAACTTCTTATAATTAATAATAAAATAAATCAAAATATTATGTTCAATGTAAAAAAGGTGGGTAAGTGGATGTCGCTCTGCTGTACAGTAGGTTACAAGTGGGTCACTGTATAATTGATGCTATTAAATTTGAATTCAATGATACAATATCATTGTATAAGAAAAACGATTCTGAGCGAAGACGGTATGTCAGTCTAGGTTAAGACAAATTATATACATATCTATGGTATTAAAAAAAAATTGACCTATAATAAATTCCAAATTAATCATATCACATTATCACAATATCCATTAGGTACTTATAACACGTTATACACCAACAACAAACCCTGATACTATCATATATATATAATAGTACACTTTAGAAGTTTCAAGTAGGTACCCACGAATAATATTATATAATCACATCAAAATAACTAGGTTTTTTAATTTGTAATTTCGTCCAAATTTGAACATAAAATGACTATAAAAATAAACTGTGATTGTATATTTTTTAGATTTTTCGGTAAGAGAATTAATTACTTACGTGGAATCTTGTTTTAAATTTTCAATCCTTAGCTATAAAAACTGAACATTTTATAATTTATTAATTACGATGATTAATAATTTTCGAGATTTTGAAAAATTCTGTCAAAATTCGATGTTAAAATGCTTATAAAAAAAATTGTGCCTATGTATTTTTAATATTTTTCAACTGATATTGTAACAATATATCAGGAGCCTTGTATTAAATTTTTACACTTTTTGGCCCAACAGATAAAACTTAATTGATATTTATAGAAAAAAAAAACTAAAAAAATTGAAAACTGAAAATGTCCGTAAACGGCTCAAAAAGAGTCAAAATATTTTCAAAATTGTATGGTGTATAGGAAATGCTAATATAAACATTCAGTGAAATTTTCATGTATCTACAGTAATTTGTTTTTTAATTACAACAAAAAAAAGAAATTGCCACATGAGAAATCGAGTGAATATCCAATGTTGTAAAAATTTGAATTTCAAACGCTCATAAAAATTTAATTTGACTTTCCGGTAGAGATTTTTTTATTGATAAAGGTAGACAATCTTATGAGTAATCTTGTATTAGATTTTCAAATCTTAGATTTAAAAAGAAAAATTTTTACGAATTCTTAACTCAAAATAATTTGCTAATTTTCGTGATTTTTCCATATTTTGTCAATTTTTGAACTTTAAAAGCTTATAAAAAAAAATTGTGACTAAGGATTTTTAATATTTTTCATCTGCCTTTGAAACAATATATTAGGAGCCTTCTATTAAATTTTCAAGCTTTCGCAACCAACAAATAAAATTTTATTGATATTTCTAGAAAAAAAACTAAAAAAAAATGAAAAATGAAAATGTCCCTAAACAGTTCAAAATAAATCAAAATATTTTGAAAATGTTATCGTGTATAGAAAATGCAAATATAAACAACCAGTGAAAATTGCATGTACTTACGGTCATTTGTTTTAAAGTTACACCAAAAACCAAATTCAATTTTCTGAAAAATCGATTTTGCGTAAAAATTCCCGTTTTTCCTTAATTTTTCTTTTGTTTTTCCCGGCGCTCTTGAAAACTACTGGGAAATTTAAATTTTGACCTCCCCAATGCACCAACAATATTCACTTTCCAATCGAACAAGATACTGAAGTCGAAAATCGAAGCATTATTTCGACTACTTATCGTGTACACAGACACAAAAAAATAAATAAAAAAAAAAAAAAAACACACATCATTGTAAAATCAATACATTCATCGTTTCACTCAGAATCTAAAAAAATGAACATTAAGTGGGAAGGCATAAAAGCGACTCTTATGTCTTCTCACTTATCTCTTTTCACTATGCTAGTTATGTACTTATGTGACTTAAATTATAATTTTTTGGACATGGAACAAAAAAGTTTCAAACTCAAATAGATATTCATCAATTAAAATATAAATTATTCTTTCAATTTATTGAAATAAAAACGAATAGATCTAACAAGTTTGTGTATTATTTTTTTTCGTCCACAGTGTTTCTTAGAATAAGTAACTTTATTAAAAACTATTTTCGTCAACCAGTGGTGATCAAAAGAAGGGAGGTTAGAGGTTATGTCTCCCACCACAATTTCTTATAAATCCCCTTATTTATGTCTTTGGTACAACAATTCATTTAAATATATTATTAGGTAGAACCCTGGTTGGGATTTTATAGCATTTTCATAATTCTTATAAAATGCTTAAGAAAAAACAGAGTAAGCTTATAATTTGTTTCATAATACATAAAACTGAAATTGTTGAATGTTGAATGTTAATTTGCATATTTTGCGATTTTTTAGATTTTAGTGCGCTTTCTGGTCTTTTTGAGATTTTATTGACTTCCTGCCTACCTCTACGAATAATGTACACATTTACTGCAGACTTAAAGTCGTCCGTTTTATTATTATAACTACTATTTGATGGATATTGTGAATTCATTTGAACGGAGCATTTTATTATTTTTCAATCGATTTATGTAGAAATAAATAATTACAAGATTTGATTATTAACTTCTAGGCAACAACAATAACGTACGTGCATACAAAACGTATAGACGTATTTATGCTTGGAATTACATCGAACTCACCGAAAGTGGAACAAATATACGTTAGCCAAAAAAGCGAGTACAGTGTATGTTACAAGTAGGTAGGTACTCAAAATTAGAACCAGGCAACGTGTTAATAATTTTAGTATTGAAATTTTTATTTGTAACTATATTTTTTTAAGTCTATATTTTTTAAATCTAGACATATTGTACCTCCGGCACATCGTATGCTGTATATTGTTATTTTATATTTTTGCATAACTACCTATTGTAATTTGGCTCACCCGTTTAATCATAATAAATAAATAAATAAAATGTAAGCACGCGCATGATCACGTACATGGAGCTAAATATTCTTTTTAATGTGCATTGCTAATCTTGTAGATACTAACATACTGCTCAAAAATATTATTGTGAGTACCGATAATAGTACTTAAGATCTGCTATATAAAGGCAATATTATAATAAGTAAGAAGTATCTGCTATATTATAATCATTGCTGCAGCCTGCACGGAAATCTAATGATAATTTTGATTCTGAATGAGCGAATAATCATAAAAAATAATAGAGAAAAATACCGATGACATAATACTCGGCCAAAAACTTCCAGTAAAAATGCAAACGTTCATAAAATTTTTTTTAAAAGTTAATAAAAATCAAATTCATTTTAAATTACCTATATAACATAAGTGTAAATTTAAATTAAAAAATAACTTAGGTAAATAATATGTATATCAATATACTCTAATATAATTGTATAAATATTAAATATTAATAAACATGTTTATAATGTTAACAGTTTAAATGTACTAAAGTGACATAGTATATAATATGTGTTTTGAAGTTTAAGCTCACAACTTGTTCGGAATATATTATGTAAATAAGGCAAAACAATTATACATTCTAGATAATTGTACAATGGAATGAATTGTAGCTAGGTTAGTATTGTATTACTTGTAATAGTCATCACAATCCTATATAATATATATTATAATGATAACACTAGGTACCTATATAATAGGTATAGGTATCTACTGCACTGGCGCAGCACAATGCCATAATGTATGCTCATAATATTATTATTACGCATATGTAAGCGCCCCTGATTGTGATAATTTTAGTAATAATTAAAATAATATTATATTTTTACCTGATACATGGAACGTGCAATATTGGAAATTCATGTTGCATATTAGAGATAAGCCCCTCTCGCTCTCTACAATGAGCAATTCGTTTTCGTAGTAGATAACCGTATCGTTCAGTTGCAACGGCATTTGTTTAATACTGTCAGGAAAAACTCTCACGTCCTGAAACATAAAAAAAGAAACCAAGACAATTTAATGTACCTACTATGGTTATAATATAGGTACCTATGTTGTTATTATTATTATTAAGAATATTATCATATCATGACGGTAACATAACATTTGCAGGATACACTGTTTGAACATTTATTAACCGTGTATATTGTCATTGGGTTAGTTACATATCAAATAAATAATAATAATAATTATGTAGTGCTCGTTTCAAACTCTAATGGCGTAGGTAGTAGGTACACGTATATTATAATGGTAGGTATATATTGCTGGTTCGTCACAATAATAATAGTTGAACATGTACGAGGATCGATTTTGTAGGTTACTACTCGGAATTAGATATATTTTATAGTGAATATATTATGTGTGATCTACCTAAAATTATTACGATCGATCAACGTTTCTGTTAACTATATTTTTACAATATGCCATTGTCAAAATATTATGAAATCCTTTTGCTGATATTTTGGAAACATAATAAAAGCACAAAAACATGAATTATTTAATTTTATTGATTGTCAGATGATACAACAACAATGCAAAATTCCTTCTAATTCAGAAGATAAACTCATAACTTTTGTAATGAAAATAGCCTACCTATTTAATATCTTACACGTCTTTATCTCAAGCGTAATGTGGAATTCTACGGAATATCAATTAAATGGTTATTTTTTGTATTTTTTTATTCATTTCATCTTATATTTTGTATATTATTATAGTTAAGGAAATGAAGTAAACTTAATTAAAAAAAAAAAAAAAAACTGATAATAATAACATAGATTTTAGGAAAACGAAGCAGGCGACTATATTGTTGGCTTGGATAAAGTGCAAAAATGGTTCAGACATTGATTTAAATGGAACTGAAGTAGTGAAATATAATACGTACTTACTTATGATTATGTTCAATGTATAAAATAATATATTTCAATTGAGTTCATTTTTTGTTATTATTTGTACCATAGTCGGTATTAAAGTATTAAAGTATTAAAGTAAAACTATTTAGTAATACCAATCATTTTTCTGAACAATATTTTATAAAAACTAGTTTATTATTGAATTATAATTTAGTACTTTAGTTCATTTAGTAATTGTATTTTAATTTACTGTATAATACTATCTATTAATTTATTATTTATTTATAAATATTAAATTTGTATACATTGGTTCTTTATATAAAAAGAATATAGGTAAATTATGTGGCCATCGAAAATATTTTATTTAAATTATAAGTATCTTATTGTATTGAATATTTAAATGATTTTATATAGGTACCTATAGTTTTTGTTGGTAAAAAAAAAATAAGTACCACTTTTAAAAATCAAAGTGGCAATATTTAAAATAACAATTTCAAATCGATTATGATTGTTAAACATTTTGAAACATTTTACAATTTTTTTTTTCACAAAATTACCACACTTTACTTAGAACACAAAAAAAAAAATTAATAACTTTAGAACTCAGAATAGTTAGAAGGAATTTTGGTAGATCACATACTAAAATAACGATCTTCAGTCATCTTGTACCAAAATAATAAAATTTGTCGTTCAACATGTCGCTTGTACACTATCCATATAATTTAGTATTTACCTAGGAGGCTAGGTATCATGTAATACAAATATTTTGATAAAGCAATTATTAAGGCATCGTTACTGTCACAGTTTATTATTGTATGCGTTTATTTTAAATTATTAACGAAGGTATTCGTATTAAATAAATGCATACTATTAAGAAGCGGAAGCGGTGAAATCGGGTATTAAACGCAGACCGTGTTACCAAATTATTAACAGCATGACATTCGAGCCTAAATTATAGTGCTTAGTGACTGTCATATAATAGATCACAGTAAGCATTCGAAATTTTAAAGTCGAGGGAACTTCCTCATCTGCAAAACTTCAATATACTTGAAAGGCGGTCTTTCATAGGTTTTTTTTCGCATGCATACAACAACAACGCGATATTAATGACTTATATAATAATATGACAATATATTGGTGGTATTAAAATAATATTTTCAAGTGTGCTGAAAAGGACGTCAGTTCCTTATTACGAAACTATAGTTTATATATTATGCTCGCTCCTCGTACCTTGCGAAGGAGATCTATCGAAATCGTCTCGGACCCAAGTATCAGCAACAACGTGTAGTGGCCTTTGATTTCAGATTCGTAGTTGAGCACCAGGGAAAACTCATTACCGACAAAATCATTGGCCAGCAGATACGAACATTGGCCCTTAAAGTCGTAATGTCTCTGGTCGAATGTCACAAAGTGCTGCGAGCCGACTATCATCGCGTGAGCTGCAACACGAGCGTGGTTACGCAACAAGTTGAGTATAGTAGAAGAAAACAGGTAAGTAAATATAATATTGTAATATATTAATAAAATATAAGTGCATTATGGTATCAGTCATGCAAAAAAGTTGTAAAAGTATTTCATGGTTAACATATTCTTAGAGATGTCCCCGTAAGGTCACCACAACACTTTTTTTCTGATAATATCCAATATTCCAATATTTATATTGCTAATATAAAATCGAACTGGTATTTTAATAAATTAGTCTGATCCATGACCCAACATAAAAAAACCTAGCAATTGGATCAAAACCCGATATTCTATATTCATATAATGCTATATAAATTATGTGAACTATCAATACATCTTGCTTTTTGGCAAGGGTTATTAATTTATTATACCTAATTATACTTTTCTAGATGCAAAATTTAACTATTCTTTTCAACTGACAAAAAAATAAAACACAAATATATAACTAATAAGTAATAAGTAATGACTATATACTAAGTAAATAATAATTAATAATACTTAGGTAGGTATATAAATAAAAACAATAAAATTACATGTGCTGGTGTTTAGCCAAATATACATCTAAACATCAAAATCATATGGCAACTATGTCGTGGAGTTGCTGCTGATATTATACATATAGATAGTTTTTAATTAATTCTATTTTATATTTGTGCAGGTCAAATTGATGTAAATATTTCTGATAAGTTTATAATACAATTCCAAAGAATGAAAATGTCACACATGTTATAATATTAAATATTGTGCGTGACTTTTGTAAACAAATTATTTTGTAAGTTATGTATAATATTTATTACGTTTCCGATTCGATGGTTTAGATTTAATGAGGTACAAATATTATTAATATACAAATATTTCTCTGTCAAATCTGTTTTTATAATACATAATATTTTAAATATTATTATATAATATTATAGCATTGGTTGCCCATATTATTATAACCACACGAATTATTGGTCGTTGTTACTTATTACTTATTATACAATAATACGCAACATTGTGTACGTATACATATTGTGTCTGGTTCATAAAATAATGTAGATACATATTAAGTGCGCGTGTCCGAATCTCCAAACTCATTAGTATACACGGCCTACCTATACTAGCTACAAGCATCCTATAATATAAAAATTATTATAGGTATGATCATAAATATATACCATCTACCGTATACTATAAATCATGAAACGCGAAGGGAGTATTTAAAAAACTATTTTTCGTCTACGAAATTCCGATCACGCGAGTACCCATAGGCTAAACTATTATTATAATATATAGAATTATTATCATTATTATATTGGTGTTATAATAAATATATGTTTCAATATTGTTACTGTATTATAGTAGCAATGTAGAGTGAAACACTAGGAAAAGCTGTGGCTTTACGCACGATAATATTATATATTATTATAAAGTAATGACGGGGTGACCTCGTGATGGTTGCAATTATCTATATTATAATATTATAACATTAAAAGGTCATCCAAAGTTTATAAAAAAAAAAATTGACAATCGAGTAAAGTCATCGGTAATAAAGTGTAAGTCATAGTTAACAAACAATATTATATTTATACCTAAAAAAGTTGATGACATACTATTAGAGAATACAAATTAACTTAACTCAGACAAAAAAAAGTTAATTCATTTTTTTTAGCTACTACCCTACACATATCTTTACAAATTAAGTGATTGGGAAACCTTTAATTTTTTTTAATATTAAAAAAATATTTTAATTAAAATGCACCATACTATTGATATACTATTCTTTCTTATAGTACACTACCTAAATTACATGCGTCCATATAAACTAAATTATTAAATCAAGTAATATTTATTTTTACATCTGTATTTAAAACCATTGTGTATACCAAGTGATAAAACAAATAATTTATATCAGTTTTAACAACGGATAAGACGTATAAACATGATTTTAACTTGAAGTATTCATTTTCCAAACTTACAGAAAAAATGTAGGTAATTTGTTAAAATGGTATGTTTAAGAGTTAATTAGAAAATTAACTAACTAGTTTAGCTGATAAATTAAAAAAAATTAACTTTTTAACTTAACTTTAACTTTAGTCTTTGTAAATAGTTAAACAGTTGAACCTACCTCGGAATGGTGGCAGCCAATTCGTGTAGTCCATAAATGGCATCAAATTGTAGTACACAAACCAAAACGTTACATTGGATGGCGCAAACATGCTCAACAGTTTAGTGGCCATTCTGTATTCTGGTATTTCCTAAAACAAAACATTGAGTGGCGAATGATCGCATTTAATTGTTATTTCATTGTTTTCGGGGAAATTAGTTAAGTAGGTATATTATATCGGTGAATAATAATTTATAATAGGCATGTCGTATCGACAATTACTTCGTATCTGGGAGTTTCATTGAAAGCGTGCCACGAGAACGGTAACTTCTGTTCCAGTTCTAGAATTCCTTTTTCCGGTTTGCATATAAATTTTGTTTTCGCCTTGTGGTATCTAAAATAAAACACGATCATTGGTAAATTAACGATTTTGTCCATCAAACAACAAATAAACTTCATTATATTTTTCACGGAAACACGCTGAAAAAGCAAAGTTTGGTAATCGATACTTCGGCACATCGTTATATCAATTAGGTGCCTATTATCCTCACCAACGGAGGTGGTGCAATTATAAGGGTGATTCAAAAATCACATTCGCCCCGTACTTTTTTTGATTAGGATTTTACATAAAATATAAGATAAATATATTACATAGTCTATTCATGATTATATAAAAAGACGTTTTAATAGTATAAAACCCAAGGCTCGATAACGTTATAATATTATGATTATAAAGTTATATTTGACAAAAAACGATTGCAATTTTTAAACGTAATTATAACGGAAAGCGATAATCCAATATAATTAAATACCACAAAAGAAAACATGATAATTAATAAAATATATTATATAAGTATATCATTATACAAAACATAACGCAAAACGTAATTTATAGAATATCATTGAACGAAAAATAATGCAAAACGAAATATTTTAAAATCTATTTATTTAAAAGGTCTAATGGTTTCCTAGAAATATTTATTTCATGCAAACAATCTAAGAATTGATTCGTATCATTACATTAGTATCCGGGCCATTACCTACCAACATTAGTTATTATTTTTAAATTTAATAGGTATTAACACTATTTTAAATAACGATAAACGCAAAACTTTGGTAACGTTTAAATTCTGAACAAAGACAAACGAAGAAGTTGAATAACGTTTTAGTTGTAAACGAAATAAAACGTAATTTTTTTTCAAATGCAAGCCCCAGTTATTTTATACAAATTATAAAACGTTTTTATAGATTAACACAAATTACTATAATTTTCAAACCAATATAGTCTATTACCAATCATCTTCTAAACCTATTATCTTTAGTAAGTACACAAATTTAAACAACTCGAAGACCATACACGTTTACATTTCAATTAAAATGTATCAAAATGTTCTGCTTAACAGTAATCAACAATAAATAGAGTAGTTCTCATTTGAAAACAAAGAGTTTTTACCGTCACAGAATACAGGATACTCCTTAAATGGATTAAATATTTAAAAATATAGTAATTAAGTAAACTTGAAAATTCTAAAATCGGTATTTGAATAAATATTATAATGCGTTATCTAAGTGAAATTGAGATGAGCATGTTTAATGATACAAACAATGTCACGGGTCTTACTTCATTTCGTTGTCGACTGCCGTGTACGTTAGATCGTACAATCGATTCACTAGTTTTGGAATAATGTTTTGGATTTTTTTGCTCAAGTCGATGTATTCGCAAAACCACACAAACTAAAGAACATAACGCAACAATGTAAATAGGCCTTGGATAAAGCGCACGTAGAAATATAATATAAAATGTGTTTATTGTTTAAGATAATATTATATTATCTGAACAACAGTCTATATTTTCGGTTGCGTAATGATTATTACTTGGTTGATCATTGTTTTGGTGTTGTCGATCACGTAAGAGATCAACGGCAACTTGAGCAATTGATTCACGCCGTCCATTATCTCCAGTCTGAGGGCGTTCATTTCGGTCGCTGAAATCATTTCAAACACACATCACATAAACGAACGCACACGTCATATAATTATATCTGTTATATCTGTCTGTTTGACATACAACAGCGCACCAGCAATATGCAAAGTGAAACTTTCATAAGCGAAATGCTTACACCAGCATCGCGTCTTAATGTTTTTCGACGGAGTACCAAAAATGATGTACGTACACACACATTACACACATATACACTATAACCATATACTAGAATACTAGATACCTATTACCTATAGATAATACCTAGGATAGAACCTAGGTTAGGTATACTGCATTCATTCTACGTTCGCCATCGTGTACGAGGAGATTGGCATTTTGATGGTAAAGTGAATAAATTATTCAAAAATCGTTTCGTAAAATATGTACCAGTGGTGGATAACGGAAAATCGAATACGAGTTTTTTTTCCAAATATGTGGTTTTACAATGACCTAAAATTGTCTTTAAAAAAAATTATTAAAAATACGCATTAAGACTTTTAAAGAAAACTAGAAATTAACTTTGAACCGTCGTGTATACGTTATTCTGTGATGGGATTTGTATGGGGAGGATGGGGGCGGAAATATACAGGAATTCGCTGTTGTCTTTTAAAAACAGCGTGCTCTTTTGATGTCTGGTGAGATCAGCCAAATTCTTACTATCCCAGGATTTACTTAACCTTCATAATATGCATTTTACATAGAATTATTATAATATCAATAAATGTATAAAATATAGTTTATGATAGTTCATAGTAGTACTGCAGTAAGTTATTATTACTTGTATTATTAGTTATTACTTAGTAGTATGAATATAGGTAAGTATATTATTGTAAATTAATTTAATATAAATTACACAATGTTGTACATAATTTTTAACATTCAGAATTCAGATAGTAG